GAATCCCAGAGGGAGCTAGCATCTACCTACAGGTGGCACTGTATGTAACAAACTTATCTGATTGGTCAAATTACAGCCAACCAAGAATTTACTTAACAAATAACTCTAGGCTTATCAGTTCTTTACATAACTATTCTAAAAATAGATTATGATTCATGGAAAAGTTTAACATGAAACAATATTAACATTTTCTACAAAAGATGATAATTATGACTAATTATTACAAAAAATACAAAGTAATCAAAATAATCAAAATACTAATAAGAAACTAAACATATTTACAAACATATATAAATGCTAAATCAGTAACTTAATGTATCTCACTAAGTTTAAGGCCAGTGTAAATTAAAGTAGAACCATTCTCTATATGTTGTATTTAAAGAGTCTTAGGTTATGCTAAGTGTCTGTTAAAGAGTGTATCAATAAGTTCTACTATTAATCAACTATAATCAACATTAAACTAATGAATGATAAGAAATGAAATGTCTAAAAAACAATACATGTTCATTATGTTTAAACTTTAAAATAAACTTTAAATCTAAGTTAAAGTTTAAAGACTTTAATATTTCTTGAAAAAATATTCCTTAAGAATTATACATGTTATATACTTATTGAGTAATATTATGCAATATTATATAATAATTAATATAACCTGTTGTAGTTGGAATCCAACTTTACAACACAAAGTACTGATTGATTTTTTTAAGACTGAATATCACACTGTTTATTTTCACATGAACCATTGCCTTAGGGGCAAATTGCTAGATACGTTTCATGTTTCTTCATTCGTGGACCGTCCCTCACAGTAAATTCTTACGCAAGACACGAAACGCTAGTAAGTAACTTCTCCATAGTTTATATACGGGAAATAGTAAGTAACTTCTCCATAGTTTATATACGGGAAATACACAAATAATATTTTAATGAAAACCCATGTATGATGTTGTCTAAAGATATTGACTATATAATTCATACAGATACGTGTTTGATTTCTTAAAATTATTACATTGTTATGCGTATAAAAGTTTAATGATCTTCGGCAAAGGCAGGCCAAGACGACTACATGCGGGTCAGAACGCAAAGTATCACCTTCAAAGTCGAAGTAAATCTGGGGAATTCTTTTTTTTTTTCGTGAAGTCATCAATGTCTGTGAAACGTAGCTTCTTAGTCATCCTATTTGTGTAATATGTAAATTTATTGCATCGATTAATGTTTTTTCCTGAACTTTATTTCTCTTTAATCATTGCACTAGTCATATTAATGCGATTGCGAAGGCGAGACATAGTAAAACTATTCATGTTCTGGCCAATCTAATTACATAATTGAACCCTTCATTATATATAGTATTGATTTTGTCTATAAATACATGTAGAACAAATTATACAATCCCGTAATCAGCAGTACATAACTGTTTGTAAAAAGCTTTTATCATCGCATTCTTTTAGCAACTGCCATATTCATTTTCTTGTTTGTGTTTTTATATTATTGTTATTATTATTATTATTATTATTATTATTATTATTATTATTATTATTATTATTGTTATTTATTATTATTATTATTATTATTATTATTATTATTATATATTATTGTTGTTATTGTTATTGTTATTATCATTATTACTATTATTATTATTATTATTATTATTATTTATTTATTTTTAATATTTATTTTATTATTGTTATTATTATTATCATTATATATTTTTGTTTGTTATTGTTATTGTTATTATTATTATTATTTTATCATTATTATTATTATTATTATTATTAATGTTGTTGTTGTTATTATTATCATTTTCATTATTTTTTATTATTATTATTTTTTTTTTTATTATTTATTATTATTTATTTTAATATTATTATTATTATTATTATTATTATTATTATTATTATTATTATTATTTAAACCTAAATATATTGTTACATAATTATAGTATAACATATTTTTTTAAGCTTCCTATCAGAATAAATCAGTGGCTTTAAATCTGAGTCCTAATTATTAATTTTACACGACCCGCATTTTTCCTATTGAACATAAAAGAATCAAAAGTGTTGAAAACAATTACGGAAACAATTCAGGTATGGCGTGAAGATTTTCATCGCCTGAATAATACTGAATGTAAAATTCTTTGTCATAAAAGTAGCAAAATGTAAAACAAAGTAGTATTTTGATTTTCCTACAAAATACTTAATAACTATAACTGTATTAAATGCCAAAATGAGACAGGAGGGAAAGATAGTTTGGGTAACTGGCCAATGATTAACGTTTTTGAAAACTATAACAGGACATTCAAATAAAAGCTTTTCACGAAAAGCTTTTTTATGGGGCAAAATGGGCCTTTAAAAATACCAGTCCCTGAGTTAGACACTATACTTTATCAGATGAATAAGATCATATTTTTTCACGAAGATTATCGAACCAGACAGTGTTGTATTAATTTGTCATTTTAATATGTGTTTAAGCACTTGGTGTCAAGTGTTTAGATAGAGGCATTATGGGTAACTTAAGATAACCAGTATGTTCGAGTGTGGGCAATTAACTTAACTTTACAGCTGAGACGTCGCCGGTTAGAATAACATATATCACGTTCTGGAATAACACGTGACCAAATTATGCGTCTGGAAAAAAAATGTTGAAGTTGTTTGTCCGAATTATGGTAAAGTTGCCGACAAAGATCTGCTTACCTAATAGATAATTGTGTCGTCTTGAGAAATTGATTTTGTGTTACTTGAGATAGGCCTTCTTTCTAGACTAATTGGAGTTCGAAATAAGTAGAAAATACGCAAGGAAAAACAAATCTGATCTATAGTTTAACACTAGAGGATTTTTTTAAGTTATGTCAGATATCTGGGTCAAGGATTCAGAGCAAGGTCAGCGTTCTCGTACACAGAATATTTACTCAAATATCCCACACATGCGATTTCTGGACATAAACAAGCTAACTATTAAATAAAAATGATAGGTAGATTGTTATTGTATCTGCTAATAAGTAAAATTAAGAATGACAGCTTATTACTCGCAATTATTTAAATACTTGAAACACTTGTCCCTCACATTTTTCATTAGGATTTTGTGCGTCACTATTTTATTAGAATTTAGCGCGTCACTATTTGATTAGGATTTTGCGCGTCACTATTTCAAAAGAATTTTGCGCGTCACTATTTTATTAGGTTTTGTGCGTCACTATTTTATTAGGATTTTGCGGGTCACTTATTGATTAGGACTTCGCGGATCATTATTTTATTAGGATTGTGCGCGACACTCATGACACTATTTCATTAGGATTTTGCGCATTATTAATTTATTAGAAATGCCTATTTTCAATATTATGTAAGAATATATTCGTTTTTAAATATCATACATCTCCGTATAAAAAAAAATCATAGGTGTGAAATAAAGAATGTTAATGCTGCAATACATCATTTCCTATTAATCCTTTCCCCTATTACCACGGTTTCAAATAAATTAAATTGTTCGTTTCAAATTGGTCTACCACGTATTCGGACATACTAAGAAATATATGGAAATAATTTGGATAAGTGATGCAGTAATGTATTCTGTAATATGGAATACATAAAAATGAAGAAACAGATAAAAATGATTAGCAAGAGATACTTACGCCAAAAACCGTTTGCACAATTATAGACCACGTGATTATACACCATTCAAAACAGTGAAGCAAAAAAACACTGATAAATACAATAAAGAATTGTGTGTTCATAAAATGCTTTACTAAAGCTAATATATGTTATTTTTCTATCAACATTTGTTGCAATACAGAAGGTATTTCATATGCGTATCTTCGCGTTTTCTCCTGTCATAAGATCCGCAAGTATGAAAACAAGAAAATAAACAACAATGGATTGTGAATACGATGGTTCCCTTTATCTGTGTGATTACTGCTAGCGAAAAGCCGAAAAAAAATACAATGTAAAAATGCGAAAAGAAACGAAAACGCAAATGTTCGAATTAGTGACACAGCTAATAAGAAGCGACACATGCCTTATTTTCGCCTTTTTTTGTCGTCCTCCTCGAAAATGCGAAAAACACAAAGGGAAGACAGTAACAGTTTGTCATTTGTTTGTGTTTGGCAGAGAAAAAATAGCAATGCAAAAATACTACATGGCGTAACCAGGTTGACTTAGAAAGTTATACATAGCAATTTAGATTTGTATAACACAAGGGAGATAATTAAGTACAGCCGAAATGTATAATGTAAACAGCACTTGCGTTCCCTTAAAACATTATGGACAGTATTTGTAGTCGTGCTCCGTATATTCAACTGAATTATGACTGTCCTTGTTTTGAAATTAATGAATATCTTAGATTGGTATTTTCAATTTATTTTATGTGATTACATGTTCATGTGAAAATTTCAATGCATAAAATATCTTTAAGGACATATTAAGATATATGATTTTTAATTGATTTGTTTCATGTGTGCCAAATATAACACTCGTCTTTGCTTAGTATATAACAAATGATCCTCATTATTATAAGTAATGTTAGGCTCATGCAACACCCCCTATTGAATTTGAGCCGCGTCACGACAAAACCAACATAGTGCGTTTGCGACCAGCACTGATCCAGACAAGCCTGCGCATCCGCGCATTCTGATCAGGATCCATGCTGTTCACTATCAGTTCGCGGATGCGCAGGCTGGTCTGAATCCATGCTGGTCGCAAATGCACTATGTTTGTTTTGTCGTGACGCGGCTCATTTGTATAATAGACTTGTCCAGGCATCAAGTCATCTGTAACGACAATATTCTTTCATGTATTTTTCACTACCGTCCACAGTACATTCATATAATACAAGGAGGGACACATGGGGCAATCCTTAACTGAGACAGAGTGCCCCAACCCGAAAATTGAGTTTGTGGATTATATAACACTGTTCGATAATCGATGACTAAGCGTAAATTGCTTCTGATATTTTTTCTATTTTATGATTTTATGAAATTCAGAATAATGAGTTTGTGTTATGTTTCTTTTCAGGCGTATGTGGGTCAAGCTTATGTAAGGTCGACTCTGACAGAAAAGTTTCAAACTTGTCTATATCTGTACCAATTCAACATCACTGTACAGTTAGATATGTACTTCTCAGGTATATCTTTTATATCTTGACTTTAAGATTGTTCTTTCATATATAATTATGTATATATAGTCTGCTTTAAAAGATTAAGGTATTCACTTATCATAATAGTTCAAGTTTTTTATTCAGAAATTTCAGTGACTGTGAATATTTCTGTCCTTTGCTGTTGAATTATCTAGTTAATATTACGTACTCATGGACAGTTTAAGATGGACCATTTCTTTCATGAAAATAAAAATAAAACATACGCACAAATTAAAGGAGAACTGTTGGACCGTATATGTCATGGAACGTATATGTCACACGTGTGGGACATTTTGAGCACCACTAAGATCAAAACGTCTAAAAAAAAAGTTACAAATTCTTATATAGATCCAGTCAATCACTTTAATGGTAAAAAAAATGCGAAATGAAATACGAATACGAATACGAATACGAAAATTTTATTCAGCATTAAACATGTTTAAACAATGTTTATAGCCTATACAAATTCTATTGTACAGTGTGAACAAAAAACATAGAAGAAAGAAAAGCAAACAACAAAATGCATTTTAAATGCAAATAAAGAAATATACTCAGAATTGAATTTGATATTGATTTTTTTTTTTTGGGGGGGGGGGGGAATTCATAGCCCGACCTAGGTGAAAAGCGTTGCAACGCTTTTCATTTTATGTCATTTTTTCATCATAAAATGATTATTCTGGTTAAAAGGGATGGGGATGAATATGAAATTTTGCACAAAAGTAATTAATACAGACCTTCATCAAATGGTACAAAAATCTTGGGAAAATAATTCTAATCCAGTCATGTAAAAAAAAACAACCTTAGTGTGTAGTCTCGTTATTTTTTTTTTTTTTTTTCGAATTTGTCATAATTACACTAAACACCAAATTGGATACGAACTTTTCTCCGTTGCTTTGATTTCGCGAACCATTCTCGAGTAATGCATGATTTATATGGCAACTGGTATGTATTTAAATTTATACGAGTATGAATTATTTAGGCAGCGGGGATATATTTTTAAAGACTCGGGCTCTCAACACATGGGTCGTGGGTTTGTGCTCTATCTTAGTCTCGACCATGATTAATCACTGATTATTTCCAAGAATCAGGCTCAAAAATGATTAGTAGAACTTGATAGAACGTGTTTAACCATCGAGCGGACATGAATTTCTTCTTAAAACAAATAATAATAAATGTCCTATAAGGCTTAAAATGAAATTTCTTAACTTTCAGCTTTCGGTTGGGGAATGGCCCTATCACGGCCTGATGAAATGGTTCCGGTAAGGCTAGAAATGAAAGGAAGTGTCACATACAACAATACTAAAGCCGGCGTAGTGCCATTCCACGTAGTTGGTGATTTTATTGAGTTTAATCCAAAACCAGAGGTAGATCAGACACAGATGCAAGTAAGTGGATTATGTCCCTTAAAAAGATACAATGTATTGGATAAAAGTTATATTTCAGACATGAATTAGGATATACAACACGGATTCCACCGTATTCCAATGCTTTGTCACTTTGTCAGTCTACATAAGGACAGTGTGACAGCAATACAGCTTGACGGACGGACAAGGGCGGAATTGTATCCCCCCCCCCGCTTCCCCAATCACCCCGTACCTCTAAGTGTTGGGGGAGGCATAAAACACATGATTAATAAATTAACCCTTTCGCTGCCAGAGGGTTATTGTTTTATTGTTAACCTAGTTGCCAGAGGAATATCTAAGAAATGACTATATTTATTAATTAATATAATTATTATTATTTGTTATTAGTATTATAATAATTATATATGTTTCCAAATCTGTTAGTATATAATAATAATTATTGTCGATGTTATAATTTTCTTTATATTTATTATTATTTTTATTATTATTTTATTAATTTATTATTATTGCTATTATTATTATAGAAACGGCTAAAGCCGTCCATATGGCAAATACGCCGAAATTAACAGGAACGGCTTAAGTCGTCCCTATGGCAGTGAAAGGTTTAATACAAATATATCTTTGATTCTGAAAATAACCAAAAAAAAAAATCCAAATTGACTGACATCTTTTAAGAAGAGTAACGTTTTTATAAAATTAAGTAGAGTAAATAAAGGTCGTAAATCGCATGCCCGGTATTGTCAGGGTTATTTTCTGGAATTTTAATTTAGATTTTATAAAACATAATTTTAAATATCAGTTGAAAAAGTATTCATAGTACTTGCTTGAGATGTGTTCTTTTAACTTATCCATCCTTATGAATGCATTTTCATTAATACGAAAGAAATATGAAAAAGATGCAACCATTAGCCAACTATTATAATGGTCTGGTTGAACTGCTTATATAAGTTAAAGAAGTTTTATGCATAACAGGACACAGTCTGGTCCGACTGCACAAATCTGCAGACTGGTCTTTTGACATGGACACGCAACAATAAGCGCAAATATGCAAACACACACAAAAGTTCTTCTAGCATTAAATAGTCAGTTTGACCCAATCATTACAGTCAGCATACTAAGTATTTCCATATTAAAACTTATATTTTTAAAAATTAATGTTCTTATAGAAATGACCAGACTAGGTGAGGTCGAAAAATTTGGGCTAAAGCTGATTTACATAATAATTGACTATTTTCAGATACAGCCAGGAGTGTTCTGTTCGGGACGAATGTCAAGAAAACCAATGAATATTTTACCAGATAGTTTCAGTCTTGTCTACGAGAAGATAGACATGGATTATTCGAGGATTACGTATGAATCTGTAAGTATTTTTAACACTATTTACTTTCATAATACCAGTATAATGGGGTGATTTTGTTTCTTATGTTTTTGTAACTCGGGCGTTAAACTTGTTTTTTTTAATATATTAATATGATGTTCTTATATTTTGTATAATACGTTTTGTAACTCTGAAGACATTAACCTTGTTTTGTTTTTCTTTTCATATAATATTATGTGAAATGATGTGATTGGATTCAATATGACAAAATATTTTACTTGCCTTTACATGACATGTTATGAAACAATATTACGCGATTTTACCTGACATGAATTGATATCAGTTAATATGATATGATATAACATGGTATGATGTGATAATACACAATTTTAGATGACATAATATGATTTATATGACATTCCGTGACGTGGTGTGACGTAATATTATATTACATGATATGATATGTTATGAAGTGATATAACATGATATGATATTTGATATGAATTTTGATATGATGCGATATATTATGTGGATTAAAATGATCAGATATTAGAACTAATATGATATTTGATATTATATGATATGATATGATATGATATGATGTGATATGATATGATAATTATGATGTGATGTGATATGATGATACACGATATTATAACATTTCAACGAGGATATTATAGGGAAAAACTTTATTCACTGAATTGATTAATAAAAGTGGACATCGATGCTTTAGGCGTGCGGCGTGCAGTATTCTAAGAAATTTAGACGTTCGTTATTCTAAGAAATGTATCAAATATAATATAATCTCCTCGCTTTAGATATGGTTTGATTCAAAGAAACGACTGGTACGAAGAGATTCTAAAGAAGCCAGTGGAAACGATCCTGACCCGACCTCGGAAATATTTGATTTCAATTTAGGTACATATATGTATTTTGTTTTACCCTTTGAATCTATGATATAAGCGGCAAAACTTGCCAATGTTACTCATTTACATCTAGCCGTATCAGTCTTGCATTATAATAATTTTCTGTCGCACTTATGCTGATTTTCTTAAATGGACTTGCCCAAGTTCCATTCCGGGACTGTCCATTATTTTTTTTTCCTAATCAAGGTGATAATTCTAAAGCTGGTGAGGCAACAGCATGGATACTTGGTTGATGACTGCAACCTATTTTTTTATATTTGAACTGCTTGAAATTAAGAAAACCATTGTTAAAATACTTAATCTAAAACAGCGCAGTAACAGTTGTTCATATATAGAGTAAACAGTTTACAAACAAAGACTGAATAGTAAAAATATTCAACTCTATAGAAAAGAGGGTGTATAAGTATCCAAGGTTCCAACCGCACTAGCGTCGTCGGATTCTCATTGTGAGAAAGCAATCCAGCTAGCTAACGGAACGTCGGTGGTTCTACTCAGGTGCCCGTTAGTGCCTGTAATAATGTACAGGGTGGCATCTGCCGACTTTCTCCACCAGTATACCGACCTACACTGTTCAGGTGTCACGATAAAACCAAATAAAAATATGTCTTTAAGGTCTACACTTCCAGATAATGATAAAAATAGTATGCATAAAACCAAACTTAAGAAAAATATATTTATAAAGTGTTTCAGAATAATCTTAATAACGTTTTGCATGTTTTTATGCACACTTTGGCCGTATCAACAATTTTTACCATATATCTAGTGGGTATGAGTAAAGGCTATTTTTGTAAGGGCCTTATGCTTGCTTAAATTATTTTAAACATAAAAAAAAACATAAAAAATGTTCGGTCGTCTGTTGTTAAATAAATAACGCTATACTTTTTAGAATATTAATGTTTCATGCTTTTTTTTCTATACCCATGCAGGTGTGCATTACTCAATCGATCCGTACATGGGAAACTGTGAACCTATATCTCAGCTAGACTTGGGTGATTTATTTGTTGCAAGCAACGGTAACTTGACCATACGTATGATGTCAGCTGCGGAATTCTTTCACGCACAAAATGCTAAAATACAATATATCGGAACAGTAAGTGGTCCATATAGTACCCCATACAATTTATATTATACATGCATGTATTTAAAAATGAAATAAATAAAACCTAGAATTGTAAGCGTTTTAATCCTTTGAAGGTCATATCTTTTTGGTCAGGATATAAAATTGATTAAATTGTAGGGGTATCCGATCAATCGTCAAACGCCCAAGCCAGATTGAATTTAATTTTTAAATTGAAATACCGTCATATCCGATCGTTTGTAATGTTTTTGTGTAGTTTCTTTTGTTACCAGGGATTTAATTGGCTTGTTCCTTGTAGAGAGTGACACGAGGCGTGACATGTGACGTGTGGGCGGGACTATACCTGGATGAAGAAGCCAATAGAAATTTTACAATAGAATGGTACTTTACTCAGGTATGATACTATATTATATTCTTTGACTCCCGATTATCATACAAGAATAATTCAAACAAGAAAGCGTTCATTTTTCTTGCTAAATAAATGTTTGTAAATGCGATTTATATTTTATATTATCTTTTACAATGGCTAGCATGTATATCGAATTTGGTAAAACCTTTATCTATCATCTAATAATAAAATGAATAAAATTGACGTCATGAATACTACTAAAGTGTTAAATAAGTCATCTGGTGTAATTTATCATTTTACTAGGTTAAGTAAGGTATTTATAAAAATAATGGCCAATGGCTTTGTTGAGAAAAATACTGCAATAGTATTTTGTTTCATTTTAACATTTTCTGATGTTGAACGTTTCACTGGATTAATTGCTTCTCAAATATCCACCAAAGTGTATCAATCAATGTGTATCTTAATCTTTTTCGGCCCCGCAAATATTCTCCCCGTCTTAATGATCATTATGGTTCGAGGAAATCCTAGTTAAGTTTTTATTTGTTTGTATTTTATTATCCGTTTATATTATGTTTGTTGCATTTGCTATTTGCTGTTCTTTTTGTTTTTCTTGTCTTTCTGTCTGTATCTTTAATGTCTTTGTGTCTTGTTCCGTTATAGTTTTAATAGGTCTGTTTTTGTATGTTTCGTTATGCACTTTGCTGCCGTTACATATATATCCGTCTTATGGTAGCAGGGTATGATTTGTTTTTATGTCATTCCCGTTATGTGTCTTGTTGTCTATATTGTCATGTCTCTTATTGTCTGTGCCACTATGTTTCCTGTTCTAGTTTTGTGTTTTCAGTTCCGCGTTTTGTAGTCTGTTGGTCTGTTGTATGTTCTGGTATGTGTTTGTGTGTTTGTTCCGTTAAGTCTTTTGCTCTCTGTATTTGTCAACTTATTTAGTTGTGCCAAATTCCTTCAGTTTTCTGTTATCGGTTCTCTTTGAGATTGTCCTGTTATCGGTCCACGAGTTCTGTTCTTTTTTCTGTTGCCATTAAGTTTCTTTTATCTGTTCCGTATCTGTTCAAATCAGTGTCTTGTAGAATGATCCGGTCTTTGTTGTTTTCTGTCGGGTGAAGTCCCTTTTGTATCTCTTTTGCCGTCTGTTCCGCTATATCTCTTTTCCTATTTTCCGTAAGGAAAATAGAATTGAATTCTCTTCAAATTCTCTTTGAATTCTGTATGTCTTTTTAACCATACGTTTAGTCTCTGTATATATGTTCTGTTCGTTTAGTCTATAGTGTTCTAAGTTCTGATTTTGTCAGTCCCGTAGTCATTTCATTCTTTTAGTGGAGAAGCGGGGGATCGAACTCACGACCCCTTGATTGGTAGGCAGACAGTGTTACCACTGCACCATAGCGCCCGCTCTGAATAATAACTGTTTTTGAAAGTCCTATATACATCATTAATTCAATGCCTAACAAAACATGTATTGCTATTAAATTTTAACACATCTACCCACGTGACTTTTTATATATCGTCAAAAAGAATATAACTTGATTTAAGTAATATTTTTATAGATAACTTTGCTGTTGCTTTAAAATACCCTGGAAATGTAGTTGAGGATGCCTAAAATTCTTAGGTATATCAAATGGTGTGATAATATTCTTGTAGAATTTCCCTAAAGCCGAGACTGAATTGTGAGATTTTCAAGAGCTGCTATGGTATCGCAAACACATATACCAATCTCCAGATTTTAGACATTTAAAGCAAATAAACGTGCTTTTTTGCATAATAAAACGTTTTAAGTTCCATGAGAAACTTGTCATTGAATTCAATTTGATGATAAAAGAAAATCACTGCAATGTTGATCAAAGCGCTGAAAGCACTGAATGCGGCAGCTTAAATTGGGCTATTATAACACAAAGTATGCAAAGAAAGAATGCGAAATATCATTACGTCATATTTGATAAGTGTCTTGTACATTTTTGCAGTTATGGTATTTAAAAGCCTTGAAGGTGTTATATTTCCTGCTGTTAAGTTAGAACAGAACTAACCTTTTCAGACACAAATTTGCATTTTAACCACTGTACAACTTAATGATCTAACACTTTACATTTCCCGTTATTTAAATACTTTGCTCGTTGACATACTGCTAGATTTAAACAAAAGACACATTCCACTAAACTTTCAGTAAAATTTACCTTATTACAAACTTTCTTAAATACGGTCAGAATTCATCTGTGACGTAAAAGATTTGACTGCTTCACGGTTCCTGGCACAACAAGTTGAAACTTTGTAGGTATTAGGTCTTGTGAAAGAGGCATGTAGCTCAAGGGGTAAATGAGTTCTATGGAGGGGAATATCCACCAAAAGTATATGTATCTTGATAACAGGTTCATATTTGAATGTTACAATCCATGTGTGTTGATTGCATTCTCATTTATACATATTACATTAGTCCATCTTCTATGCATACTGATTTATATACAGGATTGCAGGATTTCAAATGCATATATGCCATTGCAAGGAATGGTATTGAAGATTGTTAATGCAGAACTGGTATTATTGCTTCTGGTAGAAGACAAATTATTGTGTAGACTAAATGCTTTATAATGGTATGACTTTAAGACATAAGCAAAACAAAGCTAAAATTTTATAAAAGCGAGAGGAAGGTGTGGGGGGGAGGGGAAATCCCGGAATCCGGGAACGTTTTAGATATTTAGGAAAAAGTATGAAACTTTATTTGTGTTGATACTTTTCGCAGTTTCAGGCTATAAAGGATAATTTCTTTGGAGTGTGCCGTATGTCATGACCGGTAAATTGATTTAAACTAAAAAAAGATTGAAATATATTTTAAAGCAATAATCATATTAACAAACTTCAAAAGAGGAAATTACAATGCTTATCAAGTATCTATGCCTAAACAGAAAAATCAAAGTTTTCGTTTATACACAATTCAGCTTAAGTTTATGGTCATGTATTTAATTATTATCATTTTTAGACAATATTATAAGATATACCTAACATTATTGATAAAAGAGCCTTTGACGTCTATGACCAATTCCTGGGGACTCTGTATGTTTAGTACCATCATGGCTTTTCTGAATTCGATATTGTAGTGGTTTATTGGCCCTTGGTGTGCAATCCTGATGGTAAAGTTGAGATTTTACGTTACCGAAGGAGTTTACAGTAAATATTTCTTCCATTACAGATGATAATTTACATCTTTCTATTCCTTTATACTTTTTCATATTTTTACAAGTTAGTTTTCGTCCTTCCTTTTGATTCTCATAATAACGATTTATAACACGAAGGCGTGTGTATCAGTAACTGTTTTCGTCAGTAAATCCAATGAATATAGACTTAAGGTGAAAACACATCTGCAATAAGTATACAAATTAATTTAAAAAAAAACTAAAATAGTTACGAAAAAAGAAAAATATTATTTTATCAATAAAGTTGTTTAAAAATCAATCAGAAAGATATTTTCCGATTCACCAAATCGTTTTGCGACAGAGTAAAATACATGTGACATATACGAGACCAATTCCTAGGGACTCTGTATGTTAAATACGATCACGGCTTTTCTAAAAGCGATATTGTAGTGGTTTTTTGGCCCTTGGTGTTAATCACTTGTGCAATCTTGAAGATAAAGTTGAGATTTTACGTTACCGAATGAGTTTACAGTAAATATTTCTTCCATTACCGATGATAATTTACATTTTTCTATTTCTTTATTTTTTTCTATATTTTACAGGTTATTTTTCGTCCTTCCTTTTAATACTCGTAACGATTGATAACACGACGGCGTTTGTATCAGTAACTGTTTTTTGTCAGTAAATCCAAAGATAGACTTAGGGTGAAAACACATCTGCAATAAGTATTCAAATTATTGGGGGGAAATAGTTACGAAAAATGTAAAATATTATTTTATTCATAAAGTAATTTAAAGATATTTTCCGATTCACCAAATCGTCTTGCGACAGAGTAATATTACGACATGTACTGTTATGAAATTTAGAATGACAAACATGTGACGTATAGATTTCGGCTCGATTGCCATTTTATTATGATTTAAAACAATTTTTGTGTAGTTGCTTAAACGATATAGTCATAATTTAATTATTTAAATAAGCAAACAGAAATATGCACACAGTTTGAAATATTTACAATTCAGTAAACAAATCTATGAATAAGAATGCAATCAACATACATACATTTGAAGCATTCAGAGATAAACATGTCATCAAAATACATATAATTACGGCGATAATTCCCCACCGTATATAAATCGGTTGTGGGAGTATAAACGTCGACGGCTTGCAATATAACCATTGCTTAACGGCACTGGTGATATAAACTAGTAACTGTTAATACTGGGCCGTTTAACCTGCCTAACTTCTTTATAACTAATAATGTAACGATTTGTTTTGTAGGATCATTGGATAGAAGCCGTCGGCGGGATTATACAACCAGCATCATTATTTAGAATAGATATATGGCAGGTACACGACATTTGAAATTTTTAGAAATATATATAAAATAAACAACTACAAATTTAATTATGTGCAATGTGTTCAATAGAATTAGATTTTATAAATACATTTTTTGAGTTGGGTTATTTTGTCAGCACATAGATTCATACAACGTATAGTGGTACTGACATAAATAGTAATGTCGGTAACTATTTCTAATGAATACATCACCAATTTTGTTGAAAATTGTAGATTATGTAAAATAAGTATTTAAAATGAAATATTACTTCCCACTGAAAGTTATCAAACGGAATTGGTCACCATTGATAAATCAGACATCAATTGTTTCGGGTGAACATTTCATTTTGTCACCCTCAGCGCGATGTGATATTTAAATCTAGTGTACGAAGGCCGCACGACATTGTGCTAAACTAATCTTAGATCAACTACATCCAACAAGTTTTGAATTTCAGGGAGGTCAAGACAGACCAATAGTTTACAATGTGCTAAAGTTTAACAGTGAACCACCACCTCAAGATGTGTTTGATGTCGGTCAATGTTTTGTGGCATCTCAGAAGTACAGACTTCTCGTATATTTTGCAGGTAAAATGAAAAGAAATAAATAAAATATCTTATACGTGTCAAAATGAGGTATTATCTGAGATTCACACTTTATGTATTATAATTTAATTGGATGGCCAAAAACAGTTGGTTCTGACAGCATGTTTATTTGGAAATATAATGATGAATGTTTTTCTGGTTGTCAGTTACCATTTACGTAAATTACATATATCCTTTTTTGAGAAATGAATAATAATAAATCACCATTTTTACATGGATTTCTTTACAAAAGTTCCTTAAAGTAACACAAGTTTTAATTTCTCTAGGGACTTGACTATCATCTTATGTAGGTCTGAAACCAACAACTTGTGTGCATAGTTTTAGATTATTTGCTCACTTTTATTATTTTCAGAATGATCATTGCGAAAAATGATACAAAAAATATGTACACATAAACATACATGTACATTTAAAGCTGCGTGCCTCTAAATATTTTTAAAAAATCAAACGCGAGAAAAAATTGTTTTAAGATTTTAAGAAAAGTAAACAGATTCAAGATTCGATTAATAATTTACTTCTTATGAGAGATTGATGACTGACTGCAGTATTAACCACTATAACTGTACTGCGTTACTAACGCAGTCAGGGGTAATTTTGCATAAACTCTGTTTGGCATTTACGTTGATTGAAAGTGCCATTTGCAATGTGTAAATTACTTTCTTTGATGACTTTACAATACATGTATCTTACTTTTAGAAACATTTTCAAAGTTTTCGTGAAAGTTATCATGAATCTTTAAGCATGCCGCTTTAACACAAACCATCCTAAGAATTTTATAAAAATTCTGATAAAACATGTATTTCTTTATATCATCGTGAATATGTGTCCGTTTAGGTCTATGTAATTAAACATTTCAAATTGCACGTGTTGACGCTTTAGGACCTCGATGGAGCTCCTTTAATGAAAAAATGAGTATGCTTGATCTAAGATAAGTAACACAATGCATGATACATGAGGGTGTTACAAACATACAAGAGTGTCCTTGAAGCCACTTGCCCTTAACAACTGTGAGTTTAGAGCCCGCAGTGAATTTAGGATTATTTGTAGGTGAGGAAGATATCAAGCTAGTTAGTGCCCGATACCAGGCACGTGAGGGCATCCGGGGTCTCCCTCCATAAGTAAAGCCAGAAAGTTGTATATGACATTTACAGTGTTGGTGGGACGTAAAAGACAACCAAAACAAACAAAACAAAGTTGCTTCCCTTTATGATATACCGTAAACAATAAAGATAACAGTCGTGAAGGGTCCGTCCTTTTCTAAACTAATTCCATTGTTATTGTTTCAGTGGTTAACAATGGAAGTCTGGACACAGTGAGCTACAGTTATTTAAAAGAGACGCTTCATTCACGCCTTGTTACAGCAGCCTTTCTTCCGCCGTTACGTCTCTCAAAATTATCTGTAAGTTTTAGAATATCTCAGAATTTAACAAGGTTTACAATTTTTAGAATCTTAAATTAGATTGGCGAGTGACTGGCGGGCAGGCGTCAAACAGGAAGTTTTCGGTTGATAACTACAGTTCAGAATGAAACTGGTTTATAACAACAGTTCGGAACATAATATTGAAACAAAACTTAGTATTCAGCACGCTAATGCGAAAAGCACCCGCAATGTTGCTTTAAAGATCGGAAAATAAATTCTGGCTTGTCAATACAATAACGAATTAGATACTGCAATCATACTGCACATAGCAAGTTTATAGGGTGACCTCATTTTACCCATTTAGTTTATGATCAAGGTCACTGTTAATAACTATCGAACAACAGTTTCCGGTTGATATGAGATATTTTAATCACATTTAGTAAAAACAACCTCAGTGTCACCCTTACTAAAAGCAGAAAATTAGAGTTAAGAATAAGATACTGTAATCAAGATTGATGTATAGCAAGCATATATTGAGGCATCACTTTAGATTTTCAAGGTCACTGTAACTATAAATAGATTTTATATTGTGTTGGTTTATACATTATGTTAATTTTTGATATATATCTTAAAAGTCATGCTTTTACATTGACGGTATATATAACAATTAGCCCATATTCTGACATTTCATTTTATAATGTTTTTTTTTAAACAAATGTCCGTGTCTTTTGGACAAAACTATCTTAAATGAAATGATTCATCTAAAAGAGGTCATATACAATATCACACTTAATCATGATCGTATTATAATTATGTGCATGTTTTTCTATGCTATTTATAGATTGAATTCGTGGGGATAAGTGACGTATATGTTGACGCCATGCTGTTGGAGAACTCCCCTTTGACAAACCCTAGGATTGTCCCGCCTCCGCGACAACAACACACAATGGAAGCTGCGTATGATTTCTTGAAGGGTCAGATTGGCGGAAAGTTACGTATAACACTCAGTAGTACCACACATCAGGTATATTTTAGATTTTTTTTCCCATACATGTTCCTGTTCGAATAATTTTCGATCGCTTGCTTTGTTGTTGTTGTTGTTGTTTGGGATGGGTAGTTTTTTCTCTTTTGTTTGTATTTTCATCCTTGAGTCATATCGGAACATTAGACTAAGATAAACGTATCAATGGTTTTTATAAAAGAATATATAGGAAATCATAGATTTTGTTTTGTCTTAAAGCATTTAGTGGAAATAAGATAAGGTAATCATTTATTACAGTGATTTGTGTTTTGACAATAATTTCAAAACTATATACATGTACACAATTATAATAATAATAACACCCGGCCTAATGGGCTTGTAAGTCCCCTTGCTGACACTTGGGGTTTTCTTCAGGTTGTGCATATACATATGGACGCAACATATTAAATCACTCAATTTAGATATCAGGAGCTTTGAGGCGCAATTGTGTCTGTATCCTTAAATGACAGGAGCTTGAAAGGTGTTTTTGTTGTTTTTTTTGTTGTTGTTGTTTTTGTTTTATGGAGCGGTGTGTTGTTTTGGTAATTATGTATTGCAAGGCATGGCGCCCACATGCGAAATAATATAACTATGTCAGCAGAATGTTTGAAAACATACCGTGCAATATTATATCAGAAATCATTCAAATTTCATTAAAACATGTAAGCGCAACAAGGGGTTGAAAACTTGCGGGGTGTTGTGTTTGTAATATGTGATGCACGGCATGGCGCCCACATGCGAAATAATAAAACCATGTTAGCCGTGTGTTTGAAAATATACCGTGCAATATTATATCAGAAAGCAATCAAATTCCATTGTAACGACGAGAGATTGAATTATACACAGTGACAATTAAAATTTGTTGAAATCAACACTGTTGAAATTTATCATTTGCGAAAAACAAATTTAAAAAAATGTTGACTGTGTAAATGAGATGGAGGAAATCCCGGGATTCAAGAACGAACGAAATATGCGCATCGTTACATAAATGCATAATATAAAGGGCGGGAAAAACTTTTAGTGCGTTTTTTATATAATAACAACAGACGTTTTTGCCGGTTTTGCATACATAACTATATTACGATTTTACACTGGCAGTGTTAGACTATCAAAAATACTAGCCGATTTTGTGTTTTGATGTGTTGTTCATTTTTTGATTTCAGAAAACTGTCATACTTGAAAGTCGGGGTATTTTGAAAATCGACTACAGTCAAGAGTTTGCGGCTATTACTACAACCTCTACGACATCAACAACAGAGGCAACTCCGCCACCTCCTGACATACCGACCACAACGAAACCATTGGTTCCAACAAAATACAACACACCAGACACATTACCTACACAAAGACGTGAGTTTATACGCATTTATTTTACCCCGCTAAATACATTTGTTGTATAACAATATTTGAACTTAGTCAATCTCGCTATTGATGAATTCCATTATTCTTAACTTTTAGATGTTAAAAAGCATAATGCGAAGTTAGTCTGTCATCAATGATTAGCGTTTTTCAAGTCTATTTCGTCAACAAAAATTGCTGGTAACATGAGAGTATTATCGTCTCTAAAGGGCGAGATTTAGTAATAATTAAATAATCGCGCGAGACACAAGCGAAAATTAACATAATTATGCGATATTTAGCTTTAAATCACTCCCTCAATTTTCAAAGAGTGAAATTTAATGCAACATTTGGTCTTTTTTCAAATTTCGCTAGTCTCTTTATACAACAAATGGAGTCCTCTTATGGACAAAATTAAGTACATTGTACTACATTCTGCATGTTTGGAATTTTGCGAACTCTTTATACGGATATTAAGCCGTTTTATTTCGCTAGCTAAAGTGTACTGGCGGAAATTATCGCTTAGCAACTAAGAATTTAAAAACAAGAGATATTACTAAATTTTGCCCTTTCGAGGTGATAATGCGTGTTACTAGCGAAAATTTTGTGAACGAAATAGGACACCGTGGTAACGAGAAGATATACATGTATAACATATTTAAGACTGATGTGTCAGGATTTCTTGGTTAGGCATGCTTGAGTTTACACAAAGTTGTATTTGTTATTTTGCATGCTTTTTTATGGATGTCTATTTTTTACTTGTTATACATCGGTGTTGTATGTGCATCATAAACCTTAACGTGGAGTTTTATCCGTAGACATCCGACTATTAATTGAACGGATATGCATGTAGAACCCCATCAAAGAAATGTTGAACGTGGCATGCCAAGATGTCCTTCAAATAAGTATATGAAGGAACAAGGATGTTCGGTTTTTTATGAAATCAAACTAATGCTATCATTGTGTTTTGCTTTGTTTAATTTTACGTAATATGAGTTTAAATGGTGAGTTCTAAACAAGATATTCACAGATTTATTTCTTTTAAATTTCAGCATGCACGTGCCCTACGCCGAAATGTGCAACGCCATCAAGTTCCCCGTGCCCAACATTACCGCCAAGCACACAAACGCAATGCCCAAAAATTACATGCCCTCCTTCAACATGTCCCACGGTAAATAATCGCGCCTGTCCAATTAGAACATGTCCTACACCTCAACCATGTCCATCTTGTTCTACCCCTTCACCTTGTCCTAAATCAACAGTGCCGACACCTTGTCCGACACCTGCTCCAAGCATGTGCATGAATAAAACATGCCCAGTGACTACTCCATGTCCCAAAGTAACATGTCCGAAATTGACTTGCCCGCAACTGTCATGCCCACCAACCAAACCTTGTATTTCTGTTCCTTGCACTACGAACTGCCCCACTCCTCCAACAACAAGTCCGTGTCCAAACATTGAAGGAAATCTAGGTCATCAGCAAAGTCAACAAAGTGATAGTGACTCCGGAGTTAAAGGCGGTTAGTAATTTTAAATATTGCATTCTATGACAAAAAATGAATTAACATAAATGAAACTTTATAATTATTTTACAAACTAAATTATACCAGCAAAACTATTTACTCTAAGCAAATCTTAAAAAATGATTGCTTAATTTTTTAGGACACCACTACCATTTGAAATCGAGAAAAGTAAGGTATCGATATAGGTTTTAAAGGTCTTTTATTTTAAAGTATATATCTTTTATCGCTTTGATGGGGGAACGAAATTGTTCATATGGAGAATTTAACTGGCTAACTTAATATTAAATATTTCTAGTTGACTAATACAATACAGTGTTACAAGTAACTCGTGCATACAAAACTGAAGTGCTCTGCGCTAAACTCCTGGGTTCCCCCATTAATCGTTCTTGGTACTGCTAAAAACTTAAGACTACTAAACCTTAGCCTGTTGGATGACTTACATAAACTTCTTCAACTTCTAGTTTTGGAACTTTTTTTTCAAATTTTTTGATGAAAAATTGTATTTGATCTGCCAACAATATAATTATAGACTTTGTTCAGACAAGCTGACCTTGCTCAATACTGATGGCAATTTCGATTTTAGCAGTTAAATGGTATATGGTATAGCAACATTATAAAATAACACGTCTGTCAGGGTAAAAGTGCATATCAGCAACCTCCCCTGAGGGTATTATTTCAGTTTAAGGGCTGCTTATGTGCACTATTACCCTTAGAGACATTCATCTTTTTTTTATTATACTGAACCAACAAATTAATATTTTAAAACATTTAGGGCGACCAGGGGAGAGAACTACAACATTACGTTTTCTTAAGTCTATATAGATTACTCGCCCTTGATGATTATTGACCGCATGATATATCGAAATAACGATATGTGGCGTCACATAAGGCTATATACATGTATTTAAAAGTTCATTTTGAGGTATAAAACAAAATAACGAATAAATGGTTACTGTTTATTCATATCTTCTATTATAGGTGTAGTTGCCGGAATTGCGATTGTGATGGTCATTGTCGGCATTGTAATAGGATTTGCTGCAATAATATTGTATAAGAAATTTAGAGTCGTCAGCCCTGATAAAAGAAATTTTATAGACAAATATCTTGATGACGAAGAAAGATACTGATAGTGGTGAAAATATTCATGATACAAAATATTTAACTTTATATAAGAAATCAGACTTTACTGAAACTTACACATGAGTCATTGTGTTTGCGTATATTGTGACGTGCAGATCTGTGATATTGATGTAATTATTTACGTTGCCAATCGGCATTTCCGTGAAATTCCGTAAAAAGTTTGTGTTTGTATTTCCCGTTCTTTTTTGTGTACCTTAATGCATGCGTCAGGAATCGAATATTTGCCAAAGACAGAATACTTTAATCCGTGAGACACTTGACCAGAATCTGTCTATATTGAGACAAATTTGGCGACTAAGTGTCAATTTAAGTGTAATGAATTATATGTATGTCAAAAAGGTTAACATTTCATCTCTAGGTATTTCGTTCTCTATGTATATAAAAATTGTTTTGAACCGGAAGCATTTCATTATTATCATTTTCCTTGCCATGTAAAGGACCATGGTATTATTAAGTTTAATGTTTGTTGTCTACATTTCCAATAATAAAAGCGTTGATTTTGAGAATACATTGTTTGTAGTTATTTGTCTTTTTCTCTCCATAAAAGTTCGGGCGAAAGTTGGCGTTATAAGAGAAATATTGAAATTATTTTTATTTAGATTATATAAACGTCAGGATTATCCAATTTCAAATGACGTATAAAGCCCATTATAAATTTTGAGAGTGCTGTATATTCCATTTGTTCACGTCACGATTATCCAATTAAAATCGACGTAACAAAGGTGCAGTATTGTATTACATTAAAATGCAAATGAATTTATGTTACATTTCAAATCTCAAGATGTTTCAATATTGTCTTTCTATTTGAACCGATTATCTTTTTCCACCTTTGTAAAAACAAATGAAAACAATATCACCTCTGGGATATTGGTCTTAAGGTCTTTGCTATTTGTTGTTTTGTAAATTCCTAGCGCCTTCGTAAAAAACTGAGCTTTTACGTAACAGTTCTTCTGTAATATTCAACGTGATAATGTCGGGCCTTTCACTTAGATCGTGAATTTGCCACGGGAATGTCTCGTCACCATTAGGGTTCTCCAACAACAGAAGTTAACTTGCCTTTGAACCTAAGTTAAACACCTTTTTTCAAGTAGAATTTATTATATATTGTACAATGAGTTATATTATGATAAAGGTCACTTCCAAGAATATGGGCCTGGAAAATGTGATATTCACCAAGGCATTCGACCTGCATATACTTGGGTTTTCACCGCAATCATCGTACAGTATGACAAGAAGAAACTAAATCTGTGTTTTGGTAAATTTTAAAGTTGTCTGCGGATTACTGCCGTCTTGTCAAACTGCTGTACCATGCCATGATAGTCACAAGTTCCTAGTTTCTTCCGATAACCATAACAGTTTTCAACTTATTCTTCTTTTTGACGAAAACGTATTTAAAAGGGGGTGTTTTTTCCAAAGATAGATATATCTTTCTAAATAATGTTTCTTGTCTTCAAACTGTTCCTTGCCATGATAATGAAGTTTTCGAAGTATAATGTCGATACCTTTGTTAGTTTTCAAAATAATTTAATAAAATTGGCAAATGTTAAAAAGGGGGATAATTCTTAACATATAGCATAAGAACTCGAAATGTGTCGTTACGCCACAGATGCCCCCGAATGCATCCAAAATTTCAGATGTTACAATATTTAATTTGCACAAACTATTTTTTTTCTTTTTCATTTTAAGTACAAAGCCCTTGAAACTATTCAATGTAAACACAAACCATTTTTATACAAACTTCAAGGCACTGAAAATATTTAGTGTTAACCTTTTGTAAATCGCATATTGCATATTTGTAGCCTAAATAATGACTATATACAAGTGTTGAAACTGAAAATTCAAAATATTTCCAACATTCAAGAGAGATAACTTTGTCAAGAATTATTGAAACGCAAGCAATTTCGAAGTTGAACTGCTTATTCATAAGATGTATCTATATGTCAAATTTAAGTCAGCTGTGCAAAACCATTGAGGAGATAATGAACGGAAACTAAAAATTTCTGACTTTTTTCAAAGTTGAAGAGGAATAACTCTGTCAGCTGTTATTACCATTACCAAATTCGAACTTGACCAGTGTATTCTTATGAAATATCCATATGTTAAATTTATTTTGAACATGTTCAACTATTAGGGAGATAATGAACTGAAACTAAAAATTCCTTTTTTGCAAAGTGAAACGGACATAAATCTGCCAAAATCATCAAACCACGACCAAATTCGAACTTATCCTGCGCATTCTTTTGATGTATCCATATGTCAAATTTTAGTTGAATATGTAATACCGTTGGGGAGAAAATGAACGGAAACTGAAAATTTCATATTAAAGGGGCATAACTCTGCCAAAAATCATCGAACAATGACCAAATTCAAACTTGACCTGCGGATTTCTTTGACGTTTTAGTTAAATATGTTATACCGTTGGGAAGATGGAATGACGGAATGACGGAACAGGGTAACACTATATGTACCATTTGCGTGGGCATAATAATAATCTAGCCTAAAAAAATGCGTCTTTTTATGATCAGCAGGTATTCCAAGTGTCCAATTAAACCTTACAAAAGCCCTATATTTTATTTCTCAACCCTTTTAAATTTTGGTGTCTTGTTGAAGATTATAAAGGATATACTCACTGGCCACACAACTGACCCATCGTTTATTTTCTTTGCGTTTGGGCAATTAATGTAATTTTTTTGTTTGGAAGTCGATTATCACTTTTTTATTCTTTTTTATTTTACGACCACAATTTTAATATTCAGCGCTCTTTTCTTCATGTAATAAGCATCTAACATGTTTCCCCATCACGTATATCAGTACCATACAACACATACAACCTATTTCTACGGAATAACAAATTCATTGCTGACACACAATGTGCCTTTGGAAATGGCTACATTTAAAAATTGTTCACATCAACAACGACGGCGATGCAGCAACCTTGATAAACAAGCCGAATACGAGCATTTTTCCTTCTTTATCAAAGCATCTACCGGTATTTCTTGAGGTTTCATTCTCGCATGTGTAAGGTCAAATGTACGTATTTAGAACATGTTAATAATATTGATACTTATGCGAAAAAAATCAAAATAAAGAATTATGTGTTTACATGAATAATACTAAATGATCGAAAAGTCTCGGACACAAAAAAGGTGTATTTAATATATTGTGTCTCGGGTAACCGATCCGTGGTCTTTATGGTCCTCTTGTTATACCTGTATATACATTTGTTTTGTTTGTTTTATTTGAAGAAAAAATGTTGTGTGCGATTATATTAGTTTCATACGTTTAAAATGAGCAAATAATGCACTCCTGATGGGAGGATGTTATATCAAAAATATAATGGGTAAGAGTTTCAGAGATTAACGCGCAGACCTCAGAGGAAGGGTACATGGATCATCTTCAGTTTCCCGGCTTTTAGTCTTTTTGATGATCCGTTAATCTAAACACACATGCATTTCTTGCGTTTCATAAAACAAAAGAAGAACACCTCCTGTATGTGAATGTCAGCTTTATTGGTTACATATTTCATACTACAATAAAATAACAATTTCTGTATGTTAACTGTAGGTGTAAGTGAGGCTGAAAACATTCACTTGAAAATTTAACGAATATAACACACATTTATCAAGCTAAAAATGAAAAATAATACTTATGGTATGTTGACATTAAATTCTATCATTATAAAGCACATTTTACACATTATTAGAATGACTGTATGAATGGGTTATTCTAACACGACCCGCATTTTTCCCTATTGAACATAGAAGAACCGAAAGTGTGTGTTATTATGCTATAAAATCACTGTTTGACGTTCTATATTTAGACATGTGACGTAATCATTATACACGTGACGTAACCACTAAAAATGTGACGCGCTGACAATAAGTACGCAAACAAATCAGACGCAATTTAGATAATTATCATGTACGGCAGCAATTATTTTTTGATGTCGTGTTAGAATCGAAATAATATATCCAAATCGATGATTTTATTGCTTGATAACATCACTGTTTGTCGGTCGGATGCGCATCATTATATCACTCGGGCTACGCCCTCGTGATATAATTCCCCGCATCCGAACTCCAAACAGTGATGTTATTGAGCAATAAAATCACAGTTTGGGATATATTATTTCTTAAACAACAATGTATATATAAGATTACTTTGACAACTTAAGATATCTCATAAAAAAGTCAATTGTTGTTGTTGTTCTGTTTATTTTCTTTTTGTTATTCATGATTTGTTTGTGGTTAAAACTGGAAGTTTATTTGCACAATAATCAGATAAATTTCACACAAGCGTAAGATACACTGCCCATATAAATTTTAAAGAATATGATTAATTTTTTAAAACATAAAAAAAAAAATATATTTTTGACAAATAAAATCAATATGACGGTAACAACAGATAAAAGAAGAAAAATGTTATCAAAGCAGTAAATCATTAACACAAAAAGACATATAAATAAATACAGTACCTTTTAAAAACAAAATCCGTTTGAACAGTTGTATGTCTTGTTTTTTTTTTTGTTTTTTTTTTGTTTTTTTTTTGTTTTTTGCGAAAAAAGGCAATATTGATTCATTCGAGAATGACAAAAAGATAACATCTCAAACAAATCACTACTTTATTCAATGTCTACTTGCGTTTGTATCGAATCATATATTCTGGATACATCTGGTTGTTGTCAAATATCACGAAGATCGTTGGATTCTGGTCGTCATCTACACATGAATCGTATAGATCGCTGGCTCTATCTGATTTGTCTTTAGGTGGAGGGCGACTGTAATTATGTTCTCCGCATACGTATTCTCCTGGCAGAATTTTTGCAACAAACATTGATTTGTCTTTACCACGCTCTGCATAGCTATCAGAGTAGCTTGAATTAGTCGCAAAATAACAACCTTTTCCGTATATTGTACCTGCAATACATACAAACCTTAGACCACCATCAGGTACCGTGATTACATATTAAATCATTTAAAATCAAATTTCATTGTCTCACAAAAACGTTATTAATAAATCTCATTTTTATAAAGCATTGATATTACATGAGTTTTGCTAACAATGGAAGACTAATATCTATTACTCTTCAACATTGATAAGAAACAAAGAATGATACTTCCCTTTAAATGTTGCTTTTAATGCAAAATCATTATTAATGTTTGCTGCAACTGCATGTTTGAACATTCAAACAAATGATGCTTTATAGACATTATGTAATTATTTCTTTGAAAAAGACAGATTGCTCTAAACCGTCGATATAGTTTGATACTTCTATTACCATATGAATATCAAACAACCAACAAACAATTTATATATTGGAGAGATCAAATTGGAAAAAAATTCAAATTTATTGTTTAAAAAAAATCATACATAGAAAGAATAATTAAGCTCTTATCAGTATGTAAAAATCTGGAAAAAAGTGATTAATCACAACAAAATAACATAAAAATTGCAGACTCGGCTTGATTGAGTCAAAGGAGGACAGAGGACATTACAGCAGATAGCTGTATATTTTTTCCACACTTTGTGTTTTATCGTATGAAAAAGAGAGAAAAAAAACAGTTTCACCTGTTGCTTGACCATTGAGTCTGAAGTCAAACCCTTGCTTACAGATGGCAGATATATTATTGTTCTTTGTACCGTGAAACACTCTTGTTTCTCCAATGTCTTTTTTCTGTTTCAACATTTTCGATCTCTTCCTTTAAATAAAGGGAATCCAGAAACATGAATATGATACGATATATATACTACGATATACTACTACATTAAAGAATACATTACTGAACGTTAAACAATATTACATTTTTAGAAATTGCATTTATTTTAAACTGGGATTTTATATGTCTTTACACTTAATTCCCTGATTAAAATGAATTTATATTCATTATGTTAGTTTTTTGACTTTGGATAAAATTATATAAATATCTTTATTAGACTGATTCCCGAAAATGGTTGCCTATATTTGTTGGAACTGCTCGCTTAACTATTTTAATTATATACCCTGCTTAGAAACGCATTCATGCCCGCCTGAAAAAAATGCAAAGATTGTAAGTGCTGATTTTTTCAAGAACGGATGGACGGCCGTTCTAGTGGGACAGTAATAATAAAGCTACTCTACTGTTCTCTCTATTGTTCTTTTCGGCCACACAAAAGAAAATAGCCACAAAAAAGCATTACGGAATGAATGACATCAAATAGAAAGAACAGTTAAATAATGTCCCTCTAGCCATATTATTACTATCCCGTGAGAGTGAACGGACAGACGGAGCCTATTTCTATATCTCCCTTTTTCTTCGAAAAGGCAGGGGACAATAAACAAATAACATATAAATTTTGATCAACTGAACTACGTTTAGCATTTTATTGTATTGGAGGGTAGATATGTCCATTATCACAATTTAAACCAACTTACATCATGTAATTTTCCCACAAATCACCATTTTCAATCCTTTCTATTGATTTAATACGAACTTTCCACAGAGTTTTGAGGAAGACATTTTCTATTTCTTTGTATTCTGAATCTGATTTATTCAGCTGTAATGAGGAAAATAGTCAAGGTATTTTCTTGTTAAATACTACTAATATTTTGATATAATATGTTTGAGACGATGTCAGATTACAGGACCGGGTTGTTCAAAACATTGGTTAAAATTAACAAATGGGCAGCTTATTCACTGGTTAAATTCTATTTTAATTGCTTGACAGTTGGATAGTATCCTGGCTACCTAACCAGTGGATTGCTTTTTTTATCCACTGGTTAATTACCACAAAGCTAAAAGATCCTGGAAACAAACTTTGCCAATTTATTTATATTTTTTAAGGAATCAGGAAGTCCCCAAAGAATGAATTTTTCATGTTTTGTGCTTTCATGATTTTGGAATCAAAACAAAAATTGTATCAAAGGCCTTCAAGTATCGGTAGATCTTTTTTCCCTAAGACACATATCAGAAAAAATCCTTTTTCTTCTTTCTTCAAATTTTAAAAAGAAATCACTTTCATTTTATGGGTCATGTTCTAACAAAGAAGATGAATACTGACACTGAAAAAAGGTTATGACTGTTTAACTGAACAACAACAAATTGAATTGATAAATGGATTTTACAGCTTTTTTATAAATGTTTGCATTTATGCATATGCAGTTCAAAAGCAATGTTCTGGTTAAGAAAAAATAAGCTTATATTTGTCAGAAAAATCTGGTTTCAAACAAATTTAAATGATTTTACTGTTTTAATGTTAATTGATAACTGGCTAAGGCCACCCGGTGGTCATAGACTAGTTAAAGATGACCACTGAATAGCGCATTTTATCCGTTAGAACTTTTTGGAACAACAGAATTTATTCAAAAGACAAATTTTAGCCAGTGGATAATTTTTTTTATCCGTTGGTTATTACTAACACATGCTATGAACAATCGGGTCCAGATGATTTAAGATTTTTCTATGGTTTAAGTCATGACATGAGCGGACAATTTTGGATCTTAACAAAGTTAATTGAAAGAGATAGACGATATTGCTGATATTTACTAGCAATAAAAATATTTTGAAATAGTGAAGGGAATGTTGATACGGTCACTTGTCCAACGCATCCTTTTGGGAATATTGGTATTTGTTTTGTGAACATGTTATTTTGAAAGATTTATTTCGAAATCAAGAATATTTTGGATTTTTTTTCACAGCTATCCCGGGGGTACACACAAACGTTCATAGTAAAAGCTTCGACAATAAGTGCAATAGGTAGTGTTATGACTACCCATACACCTTATACGCACTTGCAAACAATATATACTGAGAGTAAAAAAGTAAGAAAATTATTATGTGGGAATTCATTTTTAAATCCCTAGTTCTATCAGGGGTTGCGGGTAAGGTACCGAATGAAAAAATTCTCATTTATGACTAAGGCTTAGTTCTTTTTGTTTTTATTACCCTTTACTATATGTGCATAAATATTTTTTATAGATAAAAATAACATGGAATCCTATGGACTCTCTTTCTTAACGTGATTGACGTAATAAACTCGCTTCATATGTAGTGAATGCAAGCACGTGCCGTAAAAGGTCCAAATAATGTTTTTACTGGGGTTAATGATCGGCGTTTTAACCAGTTCATTGCCTTTTATAAAGGTCATTAAGAATTGATATAGTTTGACTTACTTTTACATGATTTGGGTTTAATCCGAAATTAGAAATTGGTCTTTGAAAAAGCTGTTGTTCTATTGATTTTATGAATGAAAAAATGTAGACATTGTGACAATTTCGACATCTTATAAGAATCACCAAAACATAATGTAAGACAATATGTCAGAACGGAATTTCTGAAATTTGTGACAATATAAATTTGACATGAATCAGTTAACAAAGGCCAAAATGTCAACCATCAATACTGAACGATTTATGTTGCCAAACGTTTGTATCCGAAGATGAGACAAACCATAGAATGTACCACTTTCTTTCTTTTTGCAATGCTATTTAAGTGACTTCTTTTGTAGTTTGAACGAACTTAAACACGTTTCTTAACGAAAATGTCCGCCTACTTTATTGTGCTTTGAATATGATCCTAACCTCCCATTTGACTCAACAAAAAAAACTTTTTCTCACAGCGTGGTTAAAAATAAGATATAAATACTTCAAATGTGATCGAGTCACCGACAAAGTTCTAGCGCCATCTGCAATGTAAAAGAGCCCTCGCAAGTGTTTTGGAGCCAACACAATCCTTCAATATGTATCGATATAGTAGCTATATTGGCGATGCCTATTCGTTTATCGACACAATTGTATGGTTTTATAAAGGCTAATAATCTAGATTAAAGACACTATTTTTGAAAATCATTCAACATCTACGTAACCATGTAGGGAACATGAATTTTTCACTTGGAAATCATCCAGTCAGTGAAGAAATAAAAGAACATCAACATACATAGCGACGTAGTAGATACTGAATCTATTTCAGTCAATCTGCAGATTTTCTTTTACTCTAAACATGAACATAAATCGGCATAATTCCGCAATTAATTTCGACATATTGAATTGTAGCGTTGGTTCCATCACGTTTGCAAGGGTTCTTCCATATTGCCGAATATTTGAGCACCATGCCGATAGCTAGATCACATTTGAATAAATGTTTATATATATTTACGATTCAGGGTATCATCATTTATCTCACTGTACAAAATTACTCAAGATATAGCTCCTTGTGTGTCGTAAAAGATCTAGCAAAATATTTTGAGGTACATTGTATTTCATATCGAAATTGCATCCAAATGGATTAAACAAATGTTCTACGTGGCACGGCATTCTTCCATTTTGAAAAAAATATGTTCTATTAAATCAGATAATTTTAAAAATTGCGTTTACACATTCAAGTTTGCTTTAGACGAGGGTTCTTCAATGTAAGTAATGTGGTATTTTGTTTAATCATATCACCAAAATGTGAAACAACATTTTTTGTGATAAGCTATGCAAGTGGGGATGCGCGCCCTTCTTGGCCTCTTGTGTATCTATTTGTGGATACATTCAAATTCTCCCATCTACGCCCTTGATCGGTTAACTTATTTATCGTGACCGGTAGTGCAAATGACAGCTATAAATGTAAAACTGTGTTTGTACAGTGAAATTAGCTTGAAAACATATTTATGTTACCTTTAAAGATCCTGTAACACATTTTTTTCATGGTTTCATTTCAAAGATATGATGCTCAAATTAAGATTTGTTAATATTTTAAGTTCCAATAAGCATTTTTTATAAAGATATTACCGAATTTAAAATTTCATGAAAATAAAGGGAGGTAATTAGAAATTTATTTTCTATAAATTCTAAGCCAAAGTTTCCATTAAGAAATGAATGCATATAATTTATTGATTAAATATAATGTGCATAAATATTTGCAGTACACATTTTACATATTCTTCGGTGTTTGAAAATTGCTTTATTTGCATAATTATATACATATATAACGTTTTGCAAGTGTGGTATACAAACACTAACAATATCAATCACAAAACATACAGGATCTGTAAACTATTTGTGTTTTCTTTAGATAAATTGACGCAAGAAATGCTTGTAAATCAAGTAAACTGCGCTTACCGGTACAATTAAAATATGATCCGAAAGCTCTTTCCAAACTGGTATCATCCAGTTTTCCGGTGCCATTATTGTTTTACTCATTCCACTGCCTGAATTGTGTACGTATCTCAGACTATAGGACAATTAAAAGTTTGAGTCTTAAAATGGTTGAAAGAATATGGTAATACACATTCGGGTTTAATATTTTAAAGCTAATGTGTTATGTCAAAGAGAATGGTATAATAATGAAACTATGCCAGAAAAGATCCTTGCAAGTAGTTAACCATCATAAAGCTTAATTAAATAATAAACTTAATCAAATAGCTTGCCATTTGATAGTATTTCCTATCAGAAAATGGTATTGAAAATGTGCATTTGGAACATACTGGTTCAATTCAAAATCGAGTTTGTTGATGAATTTGGGCCGTCTGCGCATTTTCCTTATGGTATCATATTCAGTATTGCGCTGTGTCATACTGCGAAATGAGACGATATAGCCATATGAACATTTCCCTGTTGTCCTAAAGTTTGCTCCACCAGTTGGGTCGGCAACAAAAGCTGCTTCTAACTCATTGCTTTTTATTTTAGCTGCATTTCCTTCATACTTATCCTGTTTTATATAAAACAGAAGAAAGATTCACACTGGAGAGCAACATACATTTAACGAAGCCAAAGAGCATTGGTTATATTGAGATAAATGAGCAATGCCAATTTTAATAACAATATGATTTAGAGGTAAAATGTGAACAAGGATGCACTAACGAACCTAAATTATCAGGATTTTCGAATTTTCTAGAACTAAAGTCTGTTTGTACGAGGGGTGTTTAAATATGAAGTTCTTAACAAACAATAAATGCCAAAATAATTATCTTAAACATTCAAAGTACTCACCACCATATGATTTTAAACCAATTTTACTGATACTGTTTCAGATATTCTCGTACAATGGCGGATTTGTTCGACTAAGCATTGTCATGCAACAACCTGCCACCAATGAGACCAGTTGCTTGACGACTGTTTATCAAAGATTTCTTTCATTTATGAAGGACCTTACCTTTGTAAAAGGTCTTTGATTTCCTTTGGTTTCCCATAGTTTGTAATGTATCTTTCGCTAGGGCTCATAAAAATGAACCCTCGTCTCATCGCCATATATGCGAAAGATCGATTGTTGTATTTAGGGAACTTTTTCAACAATTATTTGGAGATACTTACCCGACCAAGTTTTTGCTCTTTTGTAAGGAGATTGGGTATCCATCTGGCACTTATCCTCCTCATTTTTAATCACGTCTGAGAATTGTTTGAACGGCTCCTACAGACATACTGACGCATTAAGCTATATTCCTAGTTACAAATCTTGCATCAGTAACAATCAAATCCTCTACTTGTCAACCATTTTTGGCGAAGTTGCAGTTTTCAGACGGTGTGCATAAGGTCCACTGAATCTACACTACTTTTAAATTTCTGACACAACCGTATCACAAATGAAAAAGAGAAGTTCATTGTTCCCATAAACACGACATATTTTGAATATGTATTTCGCCTGTGTACTTAGAATAAAGGGGTTCTTGATATAGGACCGTATTTGGTCAGTTGAAGGAGACCTGTTTCCAACCTTTTACATCTCGTATACACGAGTAGATAGCGTTAAGCGAGTTATTGTCAAAGCAAGACTAAACTGATTTACACATGTATTGTATCAATTGTGAGCTAACACAACCGTCTATGCGATGCATGCACATAGTTCGTGCAAATCGTGGTTAAAAGCGATATATTGACCTAGTTACATTCACATTTGAACACCCCTCGTGCTAAACTAACTTCCATTTCTTTCATAATACTTCAGAAGAGTACCATAAACGTTATCATAACTGTATCTATATGAATCTTAGTTTAATTCTGACACAATTATCATAATAATACGTTTATAAAAAAAAACTGTTATAAAAGAATTTATGGCACTATGTTCTATATGTATTACCGAATGTCCATACTTTCTCCATCTGCCTTCGGGGTTTTTCCAATACCACAACCATTTTGTTCTCCATGTTTGGTTGCCATGGTTTACCGATGACGGTGTTGATAATCTTTCTATTTTAAAACATCTTCCTTCATAATCACTATCACTCATGCTTTTAAAATATATGGTCATTCTACAAAATAATAGACTTATTTGATCAACATGACATACAACTTACTTTAATAATGCACTTAAATTATAGTAAATAATAAATGAATTGACAAACGATCTTTTATAAACGTATTAAAAGTCATACCCATTAGATGCTATGTACTTTTCAGTTGCTGGATCACAAAACGCCTGTTCTATTCGTTCATTTTCATTCTCTCCAAAAGCTGTCCATCTGTTTGACCAGCTTTCTCTCCATCTCCACTGATACGGCAAATCACAATGTACATTCTGACAAGTGATGCCCCAACTACATCTCCCACGCAAATGATACTGGCATATCTTATCTGAAGAAGTTCAAAGTTTGTGAAAGTTATTAATTTTGATCCACACATGCCATTAAATAAAGATTAACAAGAGAAATTCTATATTAATCACTTTCGCCTAGAATCGTTAACATTATGCATCTCTATATTCCTTCATAATCACTATCACTCATGCTTTTAAAATATATGGTCATTCTACAAAATAGTTCTGTAATATCATAGGCATACAGTTAAGGTCAAATCAATTAAATATTCAGTCAAATGATCCTTCTGTTGCATTGCCTTATTTACGCCACGTACACTTGGGTTTATTTTATGTGTGTGATAAATATTATGTTGCTTGTTTTTTTTGGGGGGTTACAAACCGTTTATAAAAATATTTTGGCATATTATTGCAGCCTGGTCATTTGTACGGTGACACAAAAGTGACATTTGTTCGTTTTATTTATTTCGTGTGCATGAGATAATATATCGTGACCATGAATAATGTGTCGTGGCCACGAGATAATTAAGTGGTGCGCACGACATACTATGTCCACAGTATATAAATTATTTGAACCCCAACCGAATCTTGTGAGACGATGTCATTGTCAACCATTTTCTGACGCTTGACTTATCTAATATATTAGTATTTATATGGATACTTATGGACGTTATGTTAGTAAATCTTTATTTATATCGTAGAAGAGAAAGTTAAATAAACTGTTAAGTTATGTAAAATATAAATGTTAGCATTAAAACTATAAAATAATCGAAACTCACGAACTGCTTTCAGGTGATCAACACTGAACACGAACAAAATTCGTCTTATTTCAAGGTTTATTTAGTCAAACATTGAATTGTGATATCGAATTACTAAAATAATCAATAACAAACGATAATTTAGTCATCTGCAAAAATATTGGTGTATTTTGAACATTAAATTAAGATTTTAACCAAGGAGGTCAAGTCCCTAAACTGAACGTTACTTGCCGGTGATTGTGAACCCTACTTGTGAGTTTACGAATTTTATCTGTACAATGACTTGTGAGTATTTTTAAATATTTAACGAAGAGAACGTTAATCATGTAACGTATTTATTTGTTTATTGACAGGCAAAATGGAAGAATTCAGTTGTCTTCATTGCCCCTTTCTCTTCAAAAAAAAAATTCGAAAACACTTTTGCTCACAATTTTGACATAAGTACAAAAGCTTAAAATAACAATTTCTCAGTTTGACAACAATAACAGAAACATTAAAATCATACTCCAAAGACTTTAGAATTATTCCAAAAGACCAAAACAAATGAATTAATAAAGGACTCTAAAAGCAACTGATATTACAAAAACAGTAAAAGTTTCAAGACAAGAAGGAATTGAAAAATAATCTCCAATCAGGAAATATCAAACAATCAAAACGCCTGTTAAAGATGTTCACACATCGACAAAAGATGCGTTTTTAGTACAGATGACGAAGAGTTTAAGTTTAAACTTGGTGTCAACTTATTCCACAGATCCCACATTTAAGTTGTATTTTCAGGATATGTTTGTTACACGAAAGCTACTGTCAAGACCCTCAACTACAAATGATTCATCCAAATCCATTTGAAATACAAGTATATGGCAATTTATAGAAAAGAACTGGATTTATATATATCTTTTAACTTAAGATCACTTATGATAGCCAATGATAAACTTTTCAAGTTGTGTGAAAGGAAAACTAACAACTAACACGGGAAAGACTGTAAACTATTTAAAAATAAGTTGAAATAAACTTGCAAGAGTGAAAACTACCTTTAAGACATTTAACAATTATATGCAGGAAACTCCTTAAAATTATTTATTAAGAGTGATCCTAGTCGCGCATGTCAGAAATAGAAATTCAAGGCATTTATGAGAATAAAAATCCGTGTTTCAAAAAGCATAATGAAATCAACGGTAGGTGTAAAGCTTTCAATATGTCGATATAAGTAATCTGCCAAAAATCCTGTGATAATCTTTCGAGGAGGATGGATTGATATGTGACGTTATATAACGGTCACGTCAAAACTAACAACAATGCCTTTGAATTTAATAGTAGAAACGTTTATAGTGCTAATGTTATATCTTAGCTTTCTATCTTTTCAAAGAAAAATGAATGTTTAATGAAGATAATATTTGTTGGTTGATAATTCCTGTCAAGAAATAATTTTCTTTCAAATTTGTATTACCAGCTACTTCTTGCTGGTATTTCCAGGGAAATCGAAAACACGATGAAGGTCCATTCATGTGCAGTATTAGTAACGTATATAGAACTAAAAGATGTGTCATGCTCTTGTGACCCAATAGCTTCATATTCTGCAAGACATAATTTGGAACATAGTACAAAAATAATAAATATCATGAAAAGTGTCTCGCAAGTTATGGTTCAGTGTAAACACAAGTAGGGTACAGATCATTAAAATTGTTTAAGCAAGACGGGTACAGTTATCAGAATGTTCGCCTCTATTATTTACTATGTTTTTATCAATATTCAAAGATATCCACACAAGTGTCTGTGCGGTAAGACGAGGTAAGACAATAAAGTTAAGATTCAGATATGAGTTAAAGTGAAATAAAACAATTTCATGCATAAATTTGCCTGTGTAATCGGCGTGTGTTGACATAACAAAACACGAAGCGAAGAGCACAGCGTTTTATGAGCATAAATTTGAAGAAGCTGGTTATAAATGTATCTATAAGCAAAGAAAAAATATTTCTTAATATGATTTAAATGCTTACATACCGTCACAGATTAAATGCAAGCCGTCTTAAAAGGTTTTATGGGTCAACCCGCCTGTTTGTACTGAATTGATGTTGAGATCTTCTCACAAGATCCGGTTGGGGTACAAATCGTTTATATACTGTGATGTCGTGTCCACGAGAGACTTAGTCGTGGCCATATGATAATTAAGTGGTACGCAGGAGTTACAATGTCGTGGCAACGAGATAATTAAGTTAAGTGCACGAGATAATTTAATAATACAATGTGTGTATGTTTGTGTGCGTGCGTGAATTTTTAAATCCTAAATGATAAAAAAATCGTTCTGCGTGGCACTACATTCTTAGATTTTTAGAAAAGTATGTTATTTTAAATGGGATACTTTTAAAAAACTGTGTTTACCCTTTCCAGCTTTGCATTGGATGTATAACTTTCAATGTAAGTATCGAGGGATCTCATTTACACAGATCATCAAAATGTGCAAGAGCCACATTTTTTTGTGATAGGCTCTGCACTTGACATGCAAGGGGGCCTGTGCGCCTTCCTTTGGCTCCTGTGTTTTTATTTGCGGATACATTCAAATTGCCACAGGAACACCCTTGATAGGTTTACTTATCTTTTGTGGCCGGTAGTGCAAATTGAAGCTACAAAGATAAATTGTGTTTGTACCTGGGAATTAGCTTGATTTAAAACGCACATTTGCTGAGGTCTGCATAAAATCTATTGCATAAAATTTTTTCTATAAATTAGTTGACACTAGACCTGCTTAAAGAAAACTGCTTACCTGTACAATCAAAACCTGATGACATTGCCAATGGTCAAAAGAACGCATATAAGGATGTTTGAGGTCAAGAATTAAGATAACCATGACAAAATCCCTGTCTGATGAATAATTTAGAAGGAATAAGTCATGGTTTACATAACCTATACAGATCATTGCACCTAGTCAGAAGACGCCGTCATTCAAATCTATGTTTGTTTCAATTGTTTATTTTATTACTTTATTATTTATTTATTACTTTATTTATTAAGTGTTTCGGTAACTGTAATATTATTTTTATAATATTTCTGAGAACTATTTTAGCAGACTTTGAATTGATTTCTTCTCAATATTGAATCTTTATGCAGCCAGATACATTTGATAAAAACAAAATCTGCATATTTTCAACCACCCTCCGTATCATTTCTCTAGTGATACCTGATATACGTATACATGTATATTTGATTATACCGACACATTTCTATCAACATAAATATATATATCAACATAAATAATAAGATAAAATTTAGACTTAATTGCTTTCTAATTGCACAAATGCACAACGAATAAAGTGATATGTTTTATAACAATTATATATGATGAGCGCCTATTTGATGCAAAACCTCTTGACTTAATTGTGACTTCAAGAGAGACCAGTTCTTATGAACCGTTTACACGTTTTTACGTCCGGAAGAATTTCATCAATTGATAACCAATAATCGATGGGTTATTTATATATATTATATATTTATTGATAAGAATAATATATTCTTCGGCTGATTGACACCAGCCAGAAATGGCATTCTAAGGACTCTTGTTGGTCGGTTATGTCTACATTACGAAGCTTGGTATTTTCAGGAAATTGAAGTAGGTAAAAGAATGACATTTTAAATAAAATTAAGCCATTCTGTTTTAACTTTTTACATATCAGACACTGAATCTTGTCATACTAAGATAAGCAAAATGTAAGACGGAGAAAGATGGGGCCTTCCCACCAAGAGTATGATTTATGCGACTATGCACAACAGTTCAAGTACCAGAAATAAGTATTACAATTCCTCGAATTTCTGTTTGCTAATGGCATAACTTAAATATCTTCATGAAAAGAGTTTGAATTATGTAAAACTTCATGACCCGTAGACAACACACTTTCCCCAGACTTACGAATTATCTACATAACATATGAGCCTACACGAACGGAACACAATGGTCGAATGTTTTTTTTTGTATAGAAATTAATTTACGTTTAACCAAGTATGGAACTGTTTTCATTCTTCAGCAGTGCTTATGCAGTAAGTGACGACAGCAGGTTACATCAAACTTGCACGATTGTAATAGGGAATAACAAATAACATTTTTGATTACAAAATCTCATTCCTAACTCTAGTTATTGACCAGATACAAGTCTTCTATTTTCAGGAACCTTAAAATTGACCCAAAGGGGTTAAATTCAAATCCAAGCAAGGTCTTTACATAAGCTTGCTGCTTACTTTCTATCTATTGTTATTAGCCGGAAGATATCTATTTTAGTAAATGGTCCGAAAGGAATACATAAGACCATTGAGAATAAGTAATCCGCATGATTTTCTAGTCAAATTATGAAATGTATGTTCTTTATATTTATCATTATTTGATAAATGTTTTTGTGATTACAAATAGAAAAACAATTATCAGCGTTATCTTTATAAGTTTTATAATTTCAGGGTAGCTGGCTATATTTCTAAATTTGACTGAGATTATTTGCTATATGTATGGCTAGTGCGTGCTATACACTCAGAGTGCTCTCTGTCAGAGACGGATGAGAAGGAAATTTTTGCCGCTTTATAAGGGCTGTAACATTATGTATGGGAAGTCAATATTCTTAGGAAATATGAACATGAGTCTTTTATTCATAATAAATATGACCCATTTTATGTAAAATAACGTGAGTTTCAAATACTGCACAAAATATTGACATAATCACACAAAATATAAATTGAATACCACACTAAAGAATTATTTAAAATAAATGTTCCTTATGCACCAACATTGTGGTTACTATAATATTTTTGTTTTTCCGTCCGTTTATCCGGAAAAAAATGTCGAATGAAAGTTTAAAATAAAATTGAAATATTTCATATCAATTAAATAAAAATGACCACCCAATTTGTTACATTTACATCTGCATAATCCAAAGAGCAAAACTGGCATAACGTTTATTCTCCTGCAAGCTTTACCTATGAACTTTTTAATTCTGTAAGTATAAAAACTTTAAGAAACTTATGTCTCTTAATCAATTATATTATTCATGACATTTCGATATCAATATTTAAATTAATATAAATATAATGTATAATAATAAATAATGTTGTCAGATGAACGAGTATGTAATTATTGATGTTGCATAATAATGATGCTAAATAAACAACAAAACAATAATAATAACACCTACAATGGATGCAAATGGATTTTGAGCTCACCTGAGCTAGCTCATGTCGTTAAATGTCCTTCGTCTGCCGTCCGTCCACATTTGTTCGTTAACACTTAAGTGGTCTCATTTTCGCCTCCTCATCATCAAACGTTGTCTTGATACTTTTCTATGTAATTGCTCGAATGAGTTTGAACATGTGCCATCTCGGATAAAAAAACTAGGTCACAGGATTTATCCTGGGAATTTGTCTGCTAGTTTTTTTTAATGACTTTAGATGAAGTTCAAATATGGGTCACCTTGGGTCAAAAACTGGGTCACATTGCCCAAATATGAGAAACCTTGTTAACACTCTAGTGGTTACATATTTGACTCAATGATAATCAAACTTGGTTAGGATGCTTGTCTTAGTAATTGCACTGATGTGTTCGATTGGTCAGGTAAGCGATCTAGGGCCATGTAAGCCCTCTTGATAAAGCTTAATTAATTTATGTATATATTTATTTGTATATACTTACCATCACAAACTGGTACGTAAATTGGCGGCAAGGGGACACACTTTGGACACACACCTGTTAATAATTGAAACAAATCAAACATGTTAAACGCAATAACATATCTTTTCATCAGTTTTCTTTTTTTTTCTTAAATTTTGCAGTGAACATAATATCGTAATCATTTCTTGCTAGATTTAAGAATATAGATTCATGAATAATTTGAATACTCATATCATTGCAAGGTTAAAAATCTACTCAAAGTATAGTAACTTATGATTAATTTTGTTTGGTGTAAGTCAACATCTGTTCAAAATACATAAATTATACTTTTCAAAGGCTCTTTGACTGATGTAAAGAGACAAAAGTGGAAGATCAATTTAAAGGAATTACAAACCTCATTAAGCGGTTTCACATTCAAACTTTGAACTATAATTTAAATAACTTTGTGTCAGTTTGTTTAACAATTTACGCAAAAAAATATTTAAATATTGTGTCTTCAATATTATTAATACTATAATTATATAAAAAAATACTAAATTTTGCCTTTTGAAGTTTTAAAATTTCAGAATACATGTAGTCAACTAGTATATTATATTATGTATATACAGTGTGCATGTATATAAAGAAAAAAGAAAAAAATCAATGTTTTGTGAATTATGAATTTTGTAATTTATTTAGTTTATTAGTTTTCGTGAGATATCTTACTATTTCAACAAAAATTCAGCAATCTAATAATTTTTATTTTAATATTTTTCAATATACATATACATGTACTTATTATTATCAAACTAAGACTGATATGAAACGAATTGAAAATTACCAATAATGCCTTCTGTATGGCTGATTGAAAATATTGTTTTCCAAATTCTTGTTTCTTTGTTAGCACATTGTATCATGATGTGACCAACCTTAGTTCTTGATATTATATTTACTTCGAACGGGATCGTTTATTTCAATGCTATTTGAGAGTATTAATAACTGAGTTCCACTCATGCCGGTGTAACGAAGTAAAAAGACCCCTATAGAATAATGATCCAGGTCACAATTCTATAGCTAAATATGGCCCCTTTCTGTAACATATTGAGTCCCTCTGAAGAAAAATCCCCCACCATAAAAAGCATTAGAAATATTGACTTATTTTCGATCCTTGAAGATCGTTCAGCACGACATTATAGTTGTGTATACATGTTATGTGGTACTCTTAGTTTCTTCTATTTGGCCTTTTTCAACCTGGGTGGTTCCAGTATTCCTACTTGAATACTGTATAATCACCCTGAGGATATGTTGCCTGCTTTTTAAATTTGTCTTTTGACGTCTTGTCTGTGATACGCAGGCTTCATAACCTCAGACCCCCTTTCAAAATTCCATTTTATTAACTTCCGCCCATTATTTTCTCGTTTACATGTACGTATTCTTTTACTTGGGGACCATACGCCGCTTTTCATGGAATGGCACTACTGTGTCACATTGAATGTTCCGTGATAATCGCCGTATGAATACATCTGCGGATGTCTCTAAATTCAAAGTTTCACCATTTTCGTGTTTAAATGTTGAATTCTGCTTCAGCCGGTGCTAGGGGGCGTGGAAGGTAACTTGCACTTTCTAGTTCCGTCCATGAACAGACTCAATCAAACCAAGCCTGTAACATTTTCAATTTTGTCGTGCTGGGCTTTCTTTAGGGATTCTGTATTTCTCTATTTTTCCTATCTTATCGATGTCGATAGGATAAATGAAATGCTGTTTTAAACTTATTCAGAGAGTGACATACTTTTATATTCTGATCTGGGTGATTTTATCGTATGATTGAGTCTGTTATAAGATATTAGACAATTGTGAAACACGCCAAATAGCACTGGCTTAAGAGGTTATCAATCGTCAGCAAAATTCAGTAATTGAATAAATAGTCCCAAAGGAATATGTGACAACATTCAGATAAAGAACGTGTCAACATTCCAGAGCTGTCAGATATTTTTACTGACATTAATCGTGTCAGAATAATCGTACAGTTTCACTGTAGATATTTTGTTTTACAACGAGTTAATGTTTTCCAGTAGCGACACACTGAAGTGTATCATATTTCAACAAGTTAAATGTTGATTCTTCACATCAAAGACGCCACCAAATGATATGAACATCACAGGTAAT